TTTTTCGGATACTGTCAAAGTGTCATCGTGTGTGTTGGTTGTCGGATGAGGTATTATAAGTGTCGGAGTCGTGTCGTTCGATTGTACCGAAGGAAAATCCACGTAGATAGGATTTCCTTCTAAATACGCTGCTTTTAAGCGATCGATGCTGATGCTATCGTTGGTTCCGTTCTTATCGACTATATAGTACTTAGATTCACGTTGAAGAACTTTGAAGGGTCCTTCGTATGTTGATTCGAATGGTCGTCGATGCGAGTCTCGACGAATGAAAACGTGTGTACTATATCGTAATCAGGTTGAACGAAAACATCAGTTGATTGAGGTCGAGTGGAAGCAGGTTTAACTGAATGCATTGCGTTTGTAAGCCTGTTCGTGTAGTATGTTAGATCCATGTTCATTGAAGAGGATGAAGGATCCACGAATTCTCCTGGAAGTCGAAGTGTCGTTCCATAAACGAGTTGAGACGCAGTGTATCCAATGTCAGCTTTCACTGTATTGCGGATACCTAGTAAGACGAGTGGAAGAGCGTCGGTCCACTGTGAAACGTTTGCAGCTGATAGCGAAGCTTTCAGTTGTCGATGAAAACGTCCTACCAACCCGTTTGCTTGTGGATGGTAGGCGGTCGTTCGGAAGCGAGTGATTCCTAAAAGTGTGGTCAGACGACGGAAAAGATCGGATTCAAACTGACGTCCGCGGTCTGTAGTGATGGTTGAAGGGCAGCCAAAGTTTGCTACCCATCGTTCGACGAAGGTGCGAGCCACTGTCTCAGCAGTGATGTCCTTGATAGGTACTGCTTCTGGCCATCGAGTGAAACGGTCTACGCAGGTTAAGAGATAAGAGTATCCATTTGAATCTGGTAAAGGTCCTACCAAATCCAGATGAACATGGTCGAAACGGGCATCGGGAGTTTTAAACGAGCCTAAGGGACATTTATTGTGTCTGATAACCTTAGATTTTTGGCAGCTTACACAGAAGCGTGCCCACTCCCTCACGTCTTTATTCATTCCAGGCCAGCAAAACCTTTCTGCTATAAGCTTGATGGTTGCACGAACACCTGGATGCGAAAGTTTGTGCAATGTGTTGAAGACATTGCGTCGATAATGTTTCGGCACGATTGGGCGATCCCTACCTGTAGATGTGTCACAAAGTAAGGTTTCCTTACCTGTTCTCATCTGTTTGATGCATAGTTTAAGGGTTGTAGACGATAACTCATGCTGAAGATCAGTGTCTTCTTTTTGAAGCTCGGCGAGTTTCAGAAGGTCGATTCCTTGGAAACTGTTCAAGGAAGTTATGCGGGATAAAGCGTCTGCAACTACATTGTTTGCTCCAGAGATGTGTTGAATGTCTGAAGTAAACTGCGAAATGTAGTCCAGTTGTTGAGACTCACGAGGTGAGTACTTGTCTGAAGAGGAGCTTAACGAGAAAGTAAGATGTTTATGGTCCGTGAAAAGAGTGAATTCACGACTTCGATGTAGTGGTGGAAATGCCGTACAGCACAATACATAGCTAGGAGTTCCCTACCGAATGTGCTGTACCTCGATTCAGTGTCTAGCAACCGTCTAGAGAAAAATGCCAAGGGTTACCAGGAGTTGTTAACCCATTGTTGTAAGACTCCTCCGATTGCTGAGTCGGATGCGTCTACTGCGATGCTAATGGGTGCTCGGGTGTCCTAGTGTGCAAGCATTGTTGCTTTAGCAATCAGTTCCTTAACTGTGGAGAATGCTTTTCGTGCGGTGTCGTCCAAATTAATGGATTTTGCATTTCCACGAAGTTGGTCGGTCAGAGGTTTCATAAGTAATGCGCATTTAGGTATGAAACGTCTATAGAAACTTACCAGGCCGTTAAACGTGCGCAATTGCTTGACGGTGGTCGGTTCTGGGTAATCCAGAATGGCCGCCACTTTGGTCCTAAGAGGTCGAATGCCTTGAGCATCGATAGTGTGTCCTAGGAAGTCTAACGAGTTGGTTCCGAATTGGCATTTCTGAACGTTTACAGTTATGCCATGTTTTTGAAGTCGTTCGAAAACAAGATCCAGATGCTTGAGATGTGTTTCTCTGTCCGGACTTGCGATTAGACAGTCGTCAACATACGCGTGTACGAAGTTGAGACCTCGAAAAACGTCGTCTATGAATCTTTGGAATGTTTGAGCAGCATTCCTTAGACCGAAAGGCATTCGCAAAAATTCATAGAGTCCGAAAGGAGTTATGATAGCTGTTTTTGGTATGTCGTCAGTAGCCATAGGGATTTGGTTATACGCTTTAACCAAGTCGATTTTCGAAAAGACAGTTGTACCTTTCAAGGTAGCTGTCAAATCGTGAATGTGAGGCAACGGGTAACGATCGGGAATGGTTTTCGCGTTCAATCGCCGATAGTCACCAGTTGGACGCCAATCGTTGCCGTCCTTTTTAGGGACTATGTGCAACGGAGATGCATATGGCCTACTTGACGGTCGTATGATTCCTAAGTCCATCATGTGATCGAATTCGTTTTTCGCTAACCTTAGCTTTTCAGGAGCTAGTCGTCGTGCTTTAGAGAATACAGGTGGTCCTGTAGTCGTGATGTGATATGTAACGTTGCTGGTTACACACGGTAGTTTCGGTTGAGTTTGTTGTATCCCAGGGTACTTATCGAGTAGTGGTTGATAGAGTGGGTCTATCATATGTTTAACTGTGACTGGGGATACTCTACAACCAGGAAAAGAAGTTACGCAAACGGACAAATTAGTGTTTCCGTCTACTAGCCTCCGTTTGCGCGTGTCGATGATCAGATTGTGGTGTTGTAGAAGGTCCATACCAATGATTGGCATAGAAACATCTGCAATAACGAAAATCCAGTGGATGGGTTTGCGTAAACCCATGTTAAGGTAAACGTATCTTTTGCCATACGTAGCGATCGGTTTTCCGTTTGCCGCCTGTAAGTTTAGGGTCGATTCGTGAAGTCGGTCGTTAGGATTTGCTGGGAGAACTTCTGCGCCAGTGTCGACGAGGTAGCGAACTCTCGTTGTCACATCTGTGAAGAATAACAGACGGCTTTGTTCGCCAGCTACAGTTGCCGTTAACGCGTGCCGGCTCGGAAGTTTCCCGCATTGCTTTTCGAATCAGTCGGTTTCGTGTTGGGAAAATTGCAGGGTTTTCTGCAATTTCTGGAAAACTTTCCATACTGGTTATGATACCAGCACCAGTCGGGGTTATCTGTCTCTCGTGGTCTAGAGACAAATCGCTTACGAGAAATGCTTCTACGTGGTGTGTGCGATCTCTTACGGTCGGTACGAAGACTAAGATAACGCGTGAGTGTGTGACATAAGTCGTTTATATCATTATGAGTCGTTTGAGGTTTTTCTTTGACTGAAAATACCTCGGTAGTAGATTTCGTAATTTCTAAAATGCGGTCGGCAGATGCAGCTAGCTCGTCTAAGGCGTTGTTCTGGAACGAGACCAGAACTGCTTGCACCTGTTGGGGAAGTTTTGACAAGAAGAGTTGTTTGAATAGACCTTCGTCGAAAGTTCTTTGGCCTATAACCTCTCTCATCCGTAGCAACATGTCCGTCGCAGAACCGTGTTGCAGGTCGATATTGTTGAAGAGTTGATCTAACCTTTGTCGATCGGTTAGGTCTCCTCGTTTAAGAATCGAGCGTTTTAAGATTTCGTAAGGATCGGAAACATCACTAGTAAACATACTAGGTGTTACGTACCTGTTGAATTCGCGCGGTAGTGCCTTGACTACTGCGAGGAATTGTGCATGTGTGTCGATCACGCTGTGCTCGGAGAAGTCGGCTTCTGCGTAGCAAAACCAGGCTTCGATGTTGTCGGGCCAGAAAGGCATCAGTTGAAACGAAGGCGGGGACAAAGTCTTAAGCTTGAGTACTTTAGGTGTCTGTTCAGTCATGATGAAGTATGTAGTACGATAATGAACGAGGGGAAAATATATATATCCAGGAAAAAACACGAAAAAAAATCGCAATGTTTAAAAAAAATAAAAAAATAAGGCAATGATATATAAAAATCCCAAAAAGGAACAGACTCACAGTTGCAATTAGGTGTACCAGATCACGTCGGGCTCACCAATGATGATGTCACAGGTATTCAGTGTTTGACAACGCTTCTACCAGTAACACCTTCTAATATATTTCGTTCCCGCCCAGAGAAATCAAAAGACAGAGTCGAGGAGATTGGAAGAGTATATTTGGCGATGACCAATATATCGGAATTCTCTGATCTAATCTGGCTAGCTATTGCGGTTGATGTTGAGCACGGCGTTACCACACGTGATTTGGTGCGGATGCCTGACCGAGCGCCTTCTGCTAAATGAGTCCACTAAAACATATGGTCAGCATCCAATGTCGAAAACCTAGTTCTATTTATTTTGGGGATTTATTTACCGCTACACCGTCAATTGGTTTAAAAGTTAACCTTAGTTAATTTGGAACGAAACATTTTGACGACGGACTCTCATCCTCATATACGAAGGTTGATTATAATTTGTAGTGTTCCCAGAGATGTACCTTGAAATCAGTTCGTAGCCTTTTCATGGATATTACAAAAATCTGAGAACAGTAGATCGATTCTTACTAGAATATAGGGTGCTCAAAGGTGGAGGCTTGGCGACCCATAACATCCTAAGACCAGTCAGTAGCAACTTCAAAACTTGTATAAGATACTCCGGATATTTATACAATCTACCATTTACATTATTGGAAATTAGACGTTTTACTCATTTCTGTCAAGGAAACGTCACCAGCGCACTTTGAGTAACGTTGTTGCAGCCCATTCCAAACTACACTACCAATTTATAGTCTCCATTAATAAATTGTAATAATCTTACATTTGTGTTGTTACAGACCGCTTTAAATTAATTACCTCATTAAAAGTAAGTGCATTCTACGTACTTACTGGGCGAATTGCTCACATTTTCTCTTCCAGGTTCTCTAGGGATCACTGCACCTAACATTTCTCCACCACAAAAATTACGTTAAAGCTAGAGAAAAACATACTAGAGGTGATATGACTGAACTGTAAGAAAAGTTTCGTCATGTAAATTCAGTTTAGGGCTGACAAAAAATGTGATGAAACACAATTAAGCGAGAGATCAGGTATTTTTCAGCCTTTGGATTATTCGTTTCTGAATATAAAAAACGTATCAGGTATTACAATTGTCAGCAACACTTATACGTTTCAACAGATTTAACTGTGTGTTGTCCGAGAATAATACCTAGTAGCAATTCGGTCATTAAAAAGGATATAAATGAAAAATGGGTTACTCGGACTCTGAAAATAAATAACAACCAAATAGAGGACATTTCTACACTACCTGTTGTGGTTCATGAGCTTTTCGGAGACACGTCCAGCTTAACGTGGTTAGATATATCTTGTAACAACATACCCATTATTCCAAATGTAAATTGTAGTTTGTTTTCACTTTCAATTTTAGCTCAGTCTTTTAGTAGTCTTAAACACCTGAAAATCATCTATATGCATGGAAATAAAATAGCAACACTCCAGGAAGTGATAAAACTCAGACAGCTACCGAAGCTCACGAAACTTACGTTACATGGGAACCCTATTGAGAAGGAGAAGGTAATGTCTTATATCAGTTCACTGAAACAGCTACTGTTGACCATGCTGTTCCGTTTTTTAGAAGAACATACGTCCCAACTCTCATTGCGACATCATCAAGCCAATTATGTGGCTTTTGGCCAAGTATCATGATACATTTTCTATGCTAAAAATAGCCTCTTATAAACACCTAAGGGCTCGAAACAAGCCCTTGAATTTCGTAGTACAAATTCTTGCTGTGAGTGGTTTACATAAGTGTGAAATGAGGGAACTAAAAAATACAGTAATTTGAGAGGGGCTATGCTTTCCCTACTCTTGAGAAATAGAGTAGGCAGGCTTATCTTAAGGAAAATCACAACAAACTTGTTACAATGTGGAGATAACTCCTTTTGGCATCATATATACTGTGACGACGATCATGGTCAAAAGAATCGTTCACTAAAACACACGCACGATACAAACACTAGAAATTGACATTGCAGTTTGAGGATTACATGATAGTAGATATGGACATAGACTTCCTAAAAGTATAAGAGGAAGAACAAACTAAATTTCCTTCGCATGTTTGTGATGTGATATACGACTTGGAAATTATTATTAATAAAATGGCAGCATTTTTTATGATCGGAGTGGTGAAGAAACCTTTATTGGAATCCGATAAACCTTAGGATTGTTAACATCTTACATGGTAAATTTCATTCAGTTCAATGTTTATTTCTTTCTGCAGGGTTACTTTCACACGGTTCTCTCAATATTACCAAACCTAGTAACTCTTGATTTTACTGGAATCTCGCAGGCGGACAAACAGACTGCCGCACTAATCAGACGTCCTGGTCAGAACAAACATTGAAAGGGGGGATCTCTCTACATCGTCAGTTTCTAAAATAACCATTGGAAGTGTACCAAACGAAAAACTAAAACTGCTAAAGATAATGAAACAGTATATTTTGGCAATTGCTTTTTTGTCGAAAGACCCTCATCCCTTTTAGCTTATACTTTTCTAGTTGTTTTGATAATGATACACTTAAAATTGGAATTATTCTAGTAATGCGTAACACAATAATCGCATTTTGATGACAATTTGAGAATATGGAAATACCGAAAGCTTAATTTTGCTTTACATGCAAGATACATACGCAGATGATATAGTCATGTTTCGTGAAGACGCTGATTAAATGCAGTCTTCTAGTGGCTCTGAGCAACAATACTAGAATGTTTGGGGTGCGCTTCTCTCCTTCTAAATGCAAATTGTTGCTCCAGGACTGGCCTGCATCAACACCTAAACTAAAGATAGGGAGTGAAGTAGTCGAACGCGTTGACAACCTCACTTACCTTTGAAGTCTGATCAGCCATAATGGGTTCGTGTCCGACGAAATCTCAGCACGGATTTGAAAAGCTCCTTCGGCTTTCTTGTCAACATACGTCACCTATGGCGAATGCGAGATATCCGTCTATCAATTACGGGACAAGTATACTGCGCGACAGTTCGTTTCATTCCGCTTTACGGCTGCGAAATGTGACCATTAAGAGTTGAAGATAATCGTAAGTTACTAGTATTTGACCACAGATGCATTAGAAATATTGCTCGCATCTGTGGGGATCACCGGGTAAGTAATAGTGAAGCTAGACGCAAGGTATTAGGGAGTGATGGTAAATCAGTTGATGAGGTTGTGAATCTTCATCGACTGAGATGGTTGGGTTATGTATACATGAACACCGATTACCACGACGCGCATGCTGACTAGTGTAGGAGCGGCCAAACCAAAGCATGGCACCAGTGCTTGAAGTCACTAACTTCTAGTCTTAGTCATGTCTGTGGATGCAGACCACTTGGTTGGGGTCCGTGTGACTATCGTAACCAGTGGTTGGAGACTCTTGGTGACATGGCTGATAATGGATCACAATAGTGTAAGCGTATACACTCTTTGTCCTCTCTCAAACTGTGAGATTAAAATTGTTTTATATCTTTCTTTCTACCAACTAACTCTTTCTTCCTGTTTTATATCCTTATATGCAATCTTTCTTTTATATATTACCACCATTGAATTTACTACTTCTATGAATCCAGTGTTCATCTTGATGTGCTAATGAGGTTTGCCAACTTGGACCGATGCACATATGTGCCTGGCCCTACGTTGTAACTGACCGACGCAAGAGATATTCACGAGAACTTACACAAGATGATGATTTAAACTGAAAATAGTGATAAACCTTGTTGTATGTTAATTTTCAAAAGGTTTATGTTATGACTGGCCATAGTTGAATGCTATGCCTGAATCTCTTGTTTTTAAACTCGGGACAACGAGGAACCACTGCAATTCCATCGACGCGAAGTAAGAACATCAAGACTGGTACAAATGAGGATTTATTAACTCTAAAACACGACGACGACCCTAGTCGAAAATGCACTCACATATTAATTGTACAGATGTTGATTATTAATTAGAAGGAAATCACATATATGAAAAATACCTAGAGTTGTAAAAAATTACATGCTGCATGTCATGCTGAGTATAGTTCACGTTAATTCGATACAAGAATACCGTATCTTGAACAAACGCCACACTCAAATAACTTGATGTTATGCTGAATATAATATATTGGAAAACGAAACAAATACTACCCTGGGTAACCATCACACTGAATTAAAATTGAAGTAATGTTGGACAAAAATAACAATGGGTAACGGAATATAACTTGCTTTTAAATCCCGTCATATCGGTTCTTCCATGTTGTTTCAAATGGTCAAGTTTACTTGAGATAGTAAAATGACGAGAAGCTCACCCAGAAACACTTAAAACTACTTGTCAAGATCGATTTTTAAACAACTGTTATACTTAAGTTCCTACTAATTTTAAGAGATGTATCAAAATCCATGATCACAACATTTTAATATTCACACTCAAGACAAATTAGTGTAATACAACAGAGTTAATCTTATCTGTTAAAATCACTACAGAATAGATTGGTTAAAGTGAAAGACTTATGCTACTGTGGATGTTAGATCAAATGAGGTTTTCTAAAACTAAATTCTAAGATATAATTGTATCTAATAAAAACTAATTGGCACTGCTTCACCAAGAGATAGATAGGTAAGAAAGTTAACGAGATGATTATACTGATATCCAATTTACGAGTAAGCTACACAGAAAAAAAGATAGTCGTTAAAACAAGGTGGACAAGTTGAAGTACTGATAAACAGTAGTGAGTGATGGAAGAGAATACACCCTGGACTAGTCGGCAAGGCATGTCTACAATAACAGTGATACTCTACGACGTTGGTAAATCTGAAGAGGCCAATTGGTGACTAATAATATCCTTAGCAGATTGTAAGCATAAAATATAAAAATATACACAACGCACCTAATACACATCATACGAAAAGCACACTCCTCTCTTCAAAAAGTAGGAAATTTTTACGGAACTCATCATAATACGCATCTACAACTTTTTGACTGAAGTAGACGTTTCAAGTTGGAATCCATCAAAGCGCAAGGACGTGTAATTGAATCAAGATCCAAAAAAGCCAAGTATATCGCAAGGAAAACGGCTTTTTCGCAAATAAGTTCCAAAGACACTGATAAGACAGTCTACTTAACTAAAAAACCAGAGATTTACGTCAACAGTATGGAGACATCCTGGCCAGTTTTCATTGTATTTATAAGTGTATAACTTGACAGAAGTTATAAACGAGTCCAATGAACAAACAAGTACTTCAGCCTGTGGCAAAAAGATTGTTATCACAATTCTTATTCCTAAATCTTCTGGTGATAAGACAACTGAAAAAACTATCTATCTAAATAGATAGGGTGTGGCGAAATTGGTTTACCGATTACTAGATTTTAAATGAAAAACGATATAATCGGACGAAAAACAAGTTGTCTAGTCCGCAAAGATCGGTAGGTTTCAGTGAACATGTGTTAATCAGGACGCGAAAACACGTAGGAAGAACTTTTTATTCATTATGAAAATTCTAAAAATATAAGGTAAAAAAGTAGACGTCTAATAAAGCTATTCACAGTTTTTAGATCAGATTTAGTCTTTGATGCTCACATTCGGCTTCTTCTTTGAGTTTATATAGCTGTTCTTGGACAACCTGAGTATACATAGAGTGAATATGTGAACGAAATTCTGATGAGGCCAAATATTCAGATGAATTATTCTTTAATTCTTCACGTAAACCATGGGTATCGATTGGTTTACCTACTACAACAGTCAGCTGACGCGGTTTTCCAAATATACATGACAGCGTAGTAGACGTATTCGGAACCTCAGAAGGATTTAGTTGATCTAGACCGCAATGCCAAACAGGAATTACAAGTGGATCCTGAGGGAAGAAGAACGAATATTTTGACGTTTAAGAAGTCTGTTTATTCAATCAACTTATGACAGACGCACTTTTATTTCATAAGGTTGATTAGATAGTCTGTAATCAAGTTTTTAAGTGGTATGAGCTTATGTGCGTCAGATTAACTTTAGTCAACACATCGATAAAAAGTCTATTAGATCAAAAACGGATACATACGGGTAAATGCTAGAATGCACCAGTTTACTAAGAATATGGTTGGGGTGCGAAGATATCACATCGTTATTTTGATAAGAGGTTTTTTAGATATTTAAACAAGATAGAATTACATTTATCTAGGAAAGTTGAATTCGATAGTTACAAAATGAAATTTGTTTGACAGTTGGTTCAATGAGAAACAGAACCATGAAGAGTAATATTTTCTGAAAGACAGTGCAGAGACATTTGAAGTCCTACATTGTTTGTGGCTGACTGATATAGGGATATATTTATATATCAATGCAGTATACGTATTAACTAGTAGATTAATAGCTGCTGAGAATTTATTAAAAAAGCTTTTTTTCTCGTAACAGAGGCAGAACAAGTTGTTCGCGTTTGAAGCAACTAATTACCCAAAACGATTTGTCAGTAGTAAAAATGATACAAACGACAAGTACCATGGTTATATTGTGCTATAGATAAATCAGAATTTAAAATGTAAGTTGATCTTTGAACATATAAGCAATGGTAGCTGAAAACATAAAACTGAGAGGAATTGTGAAACCATCTTGAACTTAAGGCTCAATCGAAAAAGTGGAGTATGAAACAAATGTCAGGATTCTTCAGTGTTCCCTAAAAAGATCTACAATAATATTCCATTTACAAGAAATGAGGTGTGAAAACGAAACAAGATTCTGTAGAAACCTAATTAGACACTACTAAAAAACTGATAAATAAAAGTTAAACATTATTGGAAACTACTATTCTCATTTTTGTCTAAAACTTGATGTTATCTGAAGCAATAAACATTTATTTGACTACTTCGAATTGGTATTTCCTTCTAACATTTCTGAGAAGTATTTTGTAGATGAATTAAAACAACTATGTTCCTGATGACTTCCACATCAATTCAGTTCCTTCCTTTTCATTCTGATCTAAGTCTCGTTTCGCGATTGCAAATAATTAACGTAAATGCTAACACATCATCACACCAATGAGTTGTCCATCTTTATTAGAACGTACACATATTGCATCTTATTTCATACTCCAATCCGAATCTATTTCATAGCAAATAACACAATCATAAGTATTATGTTACCTCACATATTTTTATAGCTACTTTGATTATTTCCCCCAAAGCCAGAACTAGAATAGTGCGATACGTGTTGGGACTACATAAAATTCGTTTTAAATGCGCTGATATCTGAAGATATGATAGATATCAAACGTCTGTTATTTTCCTAACTATCAATATTTATGAAATATTTTGACAATCTATACTGCTATCAAAACTTTATAGAAATTGCTTACGAACGAGCACAATGTATGTGAGGTGAGACTATAAACCTAGGACTTACGAAAGCTTACTTCTTTTGATTCGGCTATCAATCGTCCGATTCCCCAACGCAGGCGAATATTTTTTTCAGAACCACGTTCATGAGGTTGAATAATTCTCCCCTAAAGTATAACAATTATAATGATGATTAGGGCTTCACTCATAATATATCTACATTTGCCGACCTTATAAAACAAAGATTTATTTTAAAAGGGCCTTAACAAACTGGTAATTTCCTAGCAAATGTTTTATTCGCAACAACAAAAGGTAAATGGCACTTATTCTAGATGATCCCATAAAAAATTGAATATAGACTAACTAGTGAATTTTTGTGGAAATTCTTCCTTAGGTCCAAACAGTGGAAGTCATAAACACTCTGACTTAGTGGGTTTAGACAATTTTGAGTACTACGGCTTAGTAGAAGCATCCGACGGAATCAGTGCTGTAAAACATTTTCAAATATCTGAACGTAGTGAGATTGCTATGTTTTAAAGTAAGTGGAGTGAGTGACAGGAAGGCCGTCAAGCAATAATGAATACTTCAGGTCACTGGTCAATATTTTAAAATGTGCTGTTATATGGTGGTAACTTGAAGGACAATACCTTTTGCTAAAATTATCATAACGAACTATCGAGTTACGTTTTCATTATACTTTTACCATGCTTAAAAATGTACGTAGTGATATTTTCCCTAAGCATTGATTAACACATGAAGATTGTTAAATTACCAAATCACTATCAACATAGAGCCGGATAAAGGGCTGTGTTGGCTCCAGTTGACATACCATAAAAGATGAAATCTATATGATAAACTACACAAGAGGCCGAAAAAAATGTAGTAACAGTTATAATGAAAACAAATGAACATTTGAAATATAGCTCGTAAAAACAGTGGAAGGGTAAGTATGAAGGAGTAATTGGATTCAAGATCGAGAGGAAGATAAAGAGTGAATGAACCTTGACCACTAGGAACTATTCTGAACAATATCACAATCTACACTACTAAAGTTGGAAAGAGAGAAAGGAAATAAAAATGATGTAAAATAGTTGGAAAATGAAATCAAGCAAAGATTAGTATGGAATTATGCCAGAAATAAAGTGAAATCATTAATTTTGGCAAGAATATAATTAGTACAACATGAACTAAAAAAATTAGCATACTAAAAAAGGCAACTACTTTAAAAACGACTAAACTCACAGCTGTGGTATCGTAAATATTAATTACCAGATATTTTAAACTTAATCATGTTTACAAACCTGGGAAAATACATGTACCCATTGGCCAGAATTTAGTAAATTGATGCAAAAATCCATACTAGGTTGATAAACCCCCCCACCAAAGTGAGTTATTTTACCAGATAGCGGATCACGAACCCTTCGCCATATAGGAACTCCTCTGAACCAGAAGAAGAAGTTGGTATGAAGCGAAGTTGTATAACATATATCTACAGCTGTCAAGCACCAACGACATACGGTTACTAAATATTTTCATAATGCTCGAATGTCGTGATACTACATACCATTAGCAAAATGCCTAAGTTTAAGCAACGAACCACACAAGAAAAAATCGTCAAGACACGAATGGTGATTGCTGACTGTAATCAAAGGCTGATTACTAGGTCTTTTGTCAATGGCCAATAAAAGGCGTTCCGAACCGACAACGTTTAGCTGATGACGTGACAAGGCTATCTTTGAAGCTAATCCCATGAAAGAGTATGTTAGGGATTGGAGGATTTTTCGTGGAAGATATGAGGATTCCTGATTTTTGTAAAGCTTGTAAACAAGATCCATTTTGATAAAAGGAATAGTGCTGTCCAGAAATTCAAAATTCACCAGATGTTTTGAGGATAAGGATACATTGAATCAAATTTTATTTGCAAGTATCGGTACCTGAAAGAGCAACGGTAAAATGTACCTGTCAAGTGCTGACATCAACTACAAAAATATAATACTCCCAGTATATCGAAAATTAGCTGATAGGTAAGTGATCACTTACGCTGAACCTATCCAATAAAAACAAATATTTTTCGAGAGCATTGTTTGGAAATTATCAGTACTAAATGTATAACTGGTCTATTGATATACTTGAGGGTACGCATGCTAAATCATGGAGTCCCTGAGGCAGTACGACAGCGATTATTCCATTGGTTTGATATGCTCTATACGGTATTAACACTATACACCTGAACTAGAATTTATTATTTATTCGTGCACATAGACCTAGAGATTGTTTCTCAGCACTTCCATTCGAGAAATTAGGAAATCAATGCATAGCGGGTATGCCGTAGCCAGGCAAGCAGTTCAGCGTTATGTTGAGATGTCTTTCCGTGATAGGCTTCAAGCTAGCATTTCGACTGATCGTACACAAATAACCAGTAAGGTAGACTCACACAAACAAGTAATTATGCTTAAGAATATTAAAATAACTTCATTTTAGCAAGATAATACGGTACTAGTACACGGAAAGCCTGGTCTGATCAACCGATGTAGAGGACCATGGATTAATGAAACTTAGGTCACTCACAGACGAACGCAACTACTTCGAAGATCCTTTTCATTCTAGTGACATGGGAACATTTATGTGCTCGGTAGTTAGTCATGAGCACACATGGGTTCACGTCAAGGATATTGACTGTAAATGTATTGCTCTTGATTGTGTCAATTATTTAGTGGTTGTTCCATTGCTACATACGTTTATGTGAATGTATTGTGTTTCATTTTTGCTGATGGTATTACCATAAACCATTTCCTTACCTCTTATGTCTTATTTAGCCGGCTTACAAACAATACGTAATTGTAGACGCACCAAGCAAGAGGCAGCTTATGACTGCAGCTAAACAGTGGATTGTGGGAAAAGGGATTTGTCGCTATCCATCGGAGCTTGTTGATATGCACCTGCAAAACAGTGACAACCAGATGAAAATTGGTCAGTCCTGTAGGTGTAAGGTCATTCACGAATGCGTGAGTTACAAACATCCCGACCGTTGTTGCTACCTTGACGTGGTGGTCGGGCTTGCCTATCGTGATGAAGCAACCGAGCTATACTGGCTGGAACAACCGTTCCTCAAGGTCCTACCAGTCAGTCAGTCAGCTACAACGTAGGACCAGGCACATATGTGCATCGGTCCAGGTTGCCATACCTCATTAGCACAGCAAGATGAACAGCGGATTCATAGGAGTGGTTAGGTCAAAGGTTGCAATAAGGATATAGTATAGGAAGAAAGAATTAGTTCGTAGACAGAAAGAATGAAGTGATTTTAATCTTTTAGTTTAAGGGAAGACAGGGAGTGTATACACCGACGCCATTGTGATCGATTCTGAGCCATGTCACCAAGAGTCTCCAACCATTGGTTACGAAAGTCACGCGGACCCCAACCAAGTAGTCTGCATCTACCAACATGGCTCAGACTAGACGTTAGTGACTTCAGGCACTGATGCCACGTTTTGGTTTGGCCGCCCCTAACTTTCTTCCAACCATCCCCTACCCCGGTTAGCATTGCACGTCGTGGTAATCGGTGTTCAGGCATACGTAATACGTGGCCCTACCATGTCAGACAGGTCGGTTGAAGAACCGTAAGACTAAAAGCAACAAACCCAAGGTCCGAAGGCGAAGTCGTACTGCTGACTGTACAGAGGTGTGACAGCAGTAAGGTGTTTCCTTCAGACAACCAGCATGACAGCGATGCTGCCTTCCCACAAGGAGGTATGGGTTAGAAAAGGTCGACCCTAAAAATGCACACCTCGCCTTATCCCACGGATATCCGTCTCCGGCGGTAAGGTCTCAATAAGTACGGAGCTAACACAAAAATTACCCATAACAAGGTCGTGTGTGACCGACCTCAAGCAGTTGTCCCTTGGGCACTGCGGTCACGCTCTCAGGTCACTAAGACCACCTTTAATCCAAATTCCTTTTCAGGTACCTCCAGAAGAACCCTTCCACGGTGTGGGCAACCGGGAAGTGAAAACCGCCCTCATACCTCTAACAGCACTCAAGACCACTGTATTCATAATCAAACTTCCTCTTCAATTCCTATTATTCCTCCTACATCGACTTTCAACTTGAAATTTCCTCTCTCGGCTTCCACCTCAAGTGTCACCATAGCCAACGATTCTAGTGCGCAAAATACTGTCCCAGGTCTACTGAAACCTCGCTCCAAACTACACATTGGAGCCTTCAACGTACGAACCCTATGTCAAACCGGTCAGCAGGCTTCCTTGGCTAAAACCCTAGAGTCTCTTACCATTGACGTGTGCTGTGTCTCCGAAACACGCATACAGGATTCCAGTGTGGTCATTCACTTGACCTCACCTCGGCAAAACGGAGAGCCAACGAGGTACACCCTTCGTGTATCTGGTGACCCGATGGCAAGTTCTCGTGGACTGGCAGGTGTAGGCATAGCACTAAGCATGAGGGCCGAATAAGCACTGCTAGAGTGGATCCCCGTCAACAGTCGTCTATGTGCTGTTCGGCTGAACGGCTACGTAAGAACTCGGAAGGATAGGGACACACGTCGTCGCCTTTTTGTCGTTTCTGCCTACGCTCCCACTGACTGCAGCTTAGATGATGTGAAAGATGAATTTTACAGAAAGCTGTCCGAACTTTTTCAGAAAGCTAAACGCTCAGACATACTACTCGTAGCAGGTGATTTTAATGCTCAGATAGGCAGTTTAAACCAAACAGAAAGGCATTTAGGTGGATATTTTAGTATTCCGACACAGCGAACAGATAATGGTGACCGTCTGCTGCAGCTATGCTCAGACAATCGTTTATTTTTAGCAAACACAAATTTTAAGCATAAGGAGAGACATCGTCTAACATGGTGACCCCCTACACCAAACCAACGATGGACTCAAATAGACCATATTGCCATCAGTCATCGTTGGAGAGGGTCGGTAGAAGATTGTCGCTCATTCTGGAGTACCTGCTTGGACTCCGACCATGCCCTAATACGGGCACGCATCTGCTTGCGCCTCACTGGACGCAAAAAGGCCACATTAAAAAGACCCGTTAGAACTGAGTTGAGTAACGAGAAAACCAAAAGTAGGTTCCAGGAACAACTGAGGTCACACTTAGGTAGTTGTGAAGACGAGGCTGACCCAGATGTTGCTTGGAAGGGCATACAATCAGCTGTGGAAACAGCAGTGACATCTATTAGTGACTTAAACCACAGAGTAGCAAGGAACCAGTGGATTTCTTCAAGGTCTGTCACACTGATGGATTCTCGCAAACTCGTCCCATCACGTTCTGAACATGATGAAGAGCGAAAACAAATCAGATCTAGGTTAAGAAAAAGCCTAAGAAACGACCGTGAGCAGTGGTGGGCATCGAAAGCAAAAGAGATGGAAAAGGCGACGGGCTGTAGGTAATACAAGACAGCTCTTCAGACTAATAAAAGAAACTGGAATTAATAAGTCAAGTGTAAGTGAGATTATATCGGAAAAAGACGATACACTCATCTGCTCCAAGTCCAGACGTTTAGAACGATGGGCGGAACACTTTAGGGAACAGTTCAGCTGGCCTTCAGCTACTCTACAACTACCCTCCATTCCCAGACAGTGTGAATGGAACATTGAAGTAGGTCCCCCGACTCTTGCTGAAGTTCAAAAGGCTATAGTTAATCTGAAACGAGGAAGGGCAGCTGGTCTAGATGGATTGGCTCCAGAGGTCTTTAAGGATGGTGGTCCAGTTTTGGCGATTAAGTTGACTAATATTTTAGCTAAGATCTGGGAATTAGACTTTATCCCATCTGACTGGTCGCAATCACTTATCGTCCCAATATATAAGAAAGGGTCAAAATCATCCTGTGACAACCACAGAGGGATTAGTTTAACAAACATAGTATCTAAAATACTGGCCTCGATAATTATCAAACGCCTAACTAAGACTCGTGAACTACAAACTCGAGAGAACCAAGCTGGCTTTAGACCTGGTCGTGGCTGCATCGACCACATATTCACCATTCGTCAGGTTCTAGAACACAGGCATACCTATCGGCGTCCGACGATGGTGGTATTTCTTGACTTAAAAGCAGCATTTGACTCGGTAGACCGCGAGACTCTGTGGCAGTGTCTGTCATTGAAAGGCGTACCTCAGAAGTACATAAACCTTGTGAAGGCTCTTTACTCGAACACTACTAGTCGAGTCAGGGCTTATGGCGAACTGTCATCTACTTTTGCAACCTCAAGTGGTGTCCGTCAAGGCTGTCCACTTTCTCCATTTTTGTTTAACTTCATCATAGACCTATTGATGGAAATAACATTCTCGTCGACTGAATTCTCGGGTATTGATCTCCTTCCAGGAGGTCCACTTATCGACTTACAATACGCAGATGACATAGTCCTGTTTGGTGAAGACGCCGACAAAATGCCGAGTCTTCTGGTAGCACTAAGCAACAATGCCAGAATGTTTGGGATGCGCTTCTCTCCCTCTAAATGCAAGTTGTTGCTTCACGACTGGTCTCCGTCAACACCTGAACTAAGGATAGGGAGTGAAGTAGTTGAACGCGTTGACAACTTCACTTATCTTGGAAGTCTGATCAGCCCTAATGGGTTGGTGTCTGACGAAATCTCAGCACGGATTCGAAAAGCTCGTTTGGCTTTTGCCAACTTACGTCACCTTTGGTGAAGGCGAGATATCCGTCTATCAATAACAGGACGAGTATACTGCGCGGCAGTTCGTTCTGTTTTAATTTACGGCAGCGAAACATGGCCCTTAAGAGTAGAAGACACCCGTAAGTTACTAGTATTTGACCACAGATGCCTTAGAAATATTGCTCGCATCTGCTGGGATC